CTGTACACCAGTTGATTGACATTAAAAGAGGTGGGACCAAAGAGCCAAAGCACAACTAGGTGAATACACTCACTCTTTCACTGTGAGACAGACAAAAGCCTTGCGAGTTTGGAATAAGGACGATTAACTAACAATACCCTATCAGCAAGCAAAACATGGAGAAAGTAGGAACTAGATGACAAAGGAGAGGGCCTTAAATGGCCTTGAGAGAGAGGTTATATTAAGAGCAGATTAAAATAATTTGCTGAAATGTGCAGATATATACTGCTAAGTGTAATTGTCCATTAGTTATTAAATACTGTATAGGTATACCTTTGCAAGCATTATCTACCAAAATCACACTATTAATTTTGTTTGTTTTTTCAGGAACTTCTCATATCTGTAATCATATCCTTGTGTTTGTAAATCTAGTACACTAGTATTTCAGCTTTTATTTGATTTGCAATTTATGGATATAGGTACAGTATCCCCTAATGGAATGCCTTAATAATTTTCACTTTTTGTCTGAAAAGTCATGGTGTGTACTGTAGTTATTGGAGAATGTGTTTGTGTACCTGTAAAGTAGATCCTTATTGTTATTTGGTAAATGTATTCTTGAGAATCTTTAAAAAAAAAATTGAGGAAAAAGATGGGCGAGGAGCTGAATAAAAACGTGTACAATAGGATGATTAGGTGCTAGTAGCATAAGTGTAAGGGAAGATTTATTTTGGAGCAATCTATACATTTCTTTAACTGGAATTCAGTACCAGAATAATCAAATACTGTATACCCCCAACAATTTTGTTTAAAATATTATACAGTACAGGTATAATGAAAGTGCATTCTGTTGTTTTCACCTAAAGAACTTCATTTATATTAAAATTAGCAGAAAATAAGAAAAAGTCCTATGTAGTGGCATATCAATTAGGAAACGGTCAAGTATGAATTGGTCCATTGCAGTGGGAGTACACTGCCCAGATGTTAGGGGAATAGTTTTTATACTCTCACTTCAAAACGAGTCTGTGTTATCCCCCCCCCCCCATCTCAAAAGTTATTTTAAAGTTGCACATTTTTCATACAGCAGTGGATGAAGGTGTTTTTGTCCTGTTTTGTTTTTTATCTCAGAATTTTCCTATAGGAATTACTTGTAAATATTAAAGTCAAGATTTTACATGTCCAGCTTATAAAGTTTTTCTATTATGTAATAATATCGCATAACTTGTAGCCCTTCCATCAACATCCTTTTATGGGAACTATAATGTAGACTATTATCAGACAGCTTTACCATGCCCAACCCCTTATGGGTGTTGCCTTGACAAGGGAAGGGGGCTCCTTTACACCATTCTTGGGCAAGTGAAGAGAGGATGGCTTTTGCTGCTCAATCCTACCTGCTGTGGTAACTTACAAAAAATTTCACTTCCTAAACTGGTTTCACCACTTGCATTGTTACCTGATCATGGAGACCAGTGTGTTCTGTTTTCTTTATTGAGAGAGCAATCCTTTCCAACAGCTGTATCTCTTTGGGAACAACATGCTTCTCTGGTGAAGATAAAACATGAGGTTGGGTGATGCCCGACAATCGGCTAGTTGGCCTAGCCTAGCCAGGCTCTTTCCACTGGTCATCTCTGTATACTCCTGGGGGGTCACTCAATGAGTACTGTACTTCTAATGAACCTCCCCTTCTTGGGCTCTGTAATGAATGGGGGCAAGGTGATGCCTTGGGTGTTATATGTATACATCTCTTAAGTCTTATGTGGCAGGTGGACACATAAGTCTTGGATAATATTTTACTTGCCTAGGGAAGAGCTTCCTGCTGGCTCTACAGCTTGTTCTTGACATGACAGTATCCTCTGATCATCTTGATCCTCTTCTACCCTAAACTGTGGCAGTGGCACGGTCATTTGGTGTGACCAGCTCCATGTTGTACACATTTGTTGTATATATGATAAACATGACAGTGCCATAAGCACCCTTTGCTACAGGAGGTCTGCAGTATCATACTCACCTTTTGGCTCTGCACTCATGCTTTGCATGCTCCCACAGTATGCTTAGTGCATCTGACATGCAGTGCTCTAATGGCTTTGGAGTTCTATAATCCTTCACATAATATGCCTACGGATATCCAACAGAGGCTGTTCCTCATCATTAGATATGAGTAATTTTGCATGGTTCCAAGCCGTATTGGTATTCCCCTAATGATCTCGCTAATACTACTACTGCTAGAGAAGCCGTTTGTACCTGTCCCATCTCCCAAAAGTGAATTCCTTGTTGGATTTTTACTCTGGCATTCTTAATTCAATCTGGAACTGGAGTAGTAGATGTTTATTGCATGTAACAAATAATGTAGTCAAATGCAACCTGTCCTTGTAGCCTTCCTCCTGCCACTGAAACGGGAAATGTCAGTCTTTGTCAGTTCGCCTTCTTTGGATAAGTAAAAGAAAAAAAAAATATCATATACTATTTTACTAGTTTTAGAGTATTTAACACCAGCCTCCATATTCCATTTTATATTTTTTTGAGATATGAGCACCATACAACTGTTGCACATTTTAAAGCATTATTCGTGATATTGCTTTTAAATAATCCATGTATTTGAAGGCAATTATGAAATTTAGTGTGACCTATGCTACTCTATTCAAGACCCACACCAAGGGCATAGTGACAGTTTACTTTCCAGGGCCCTTCTTAAATCTCTTGCTTTGCCTTTAACCAACAATTGACCTTGTTGTAGGATGTGACAACTTCAGGTACCCATTTATTAGGTGAAGAGCACAATGTCTGTGGAATGCTGTAAGTTTTCCCACTTCTAATTTATGAAGGTACTGTATAGCCTATTTTATTGCCAGGGGGGTGGGGGGGTGGAAGGGAAGGGAACGGAACTATCTGGGAAAGTACCAAGCCACTATGACTATATAGCACTTGGGAGGGGTCAGGATAAGAATAAATCAACCCGTTCTCGCAAATTCGTAAAGTCAATATTGACTTATTAAATATGTGCATAGGTGACATACTTAACATGATAGATACCCTTAAAAAGATTCATAGAAAACACCGACCTTACCTAACCTACTTAGTATGTTAAGATAAGCATCTTATTTGCTTCGTAATTACAATTATTACCCAACCTATAATAGGTATAGGTTAAGTAATAATTGTAATTACGAAGCAATAAGATGCTTATCTTAAGATACTAACAAGGTTAGGTAAGGTCGGTGTTTTCTATGAATCTTTTTAAGGGTATCTATTATGTTTAGTATATCACCTATGCACGTAGTTAATAAGTCAATATTGACTTTACGAATTTGCGAGAACGGGTTGGAATAAATTGGAGTTGTGATGACTAATTATTCAGTACTTTATTTAAACTTTTTCCTCATTTCACACAGGACTACACAAATCTCTTAATTTTTATATTTAGTTTTCAATGTTTTGCAGAAATTTTCAGAATAAAGCAGTCATAATTTTTTTTTTTTTTTCATATCCTTTTACAGTACAATATATCAAACATATGGAAAACTACTTTAATGAGGATGTTTGCTATTGTACGTTTGTGGATATTATCTAACCACAGTGAATGGTTTTGAAAATTGTTTGAAACATTATGTAATACATCTGTTAATTGTTGAAGATTGTGTGTGGTATTTACAGTGGATAAGCCTGGCCTCGGACTTGGGGAATAGAACAACTAACTCCCAGAACCCCATCAAGCAGATACAAAATTTAATTTTTAAAGGTTTGATGCCTGTAGAGAATATTAATAGTAGTCATGATATATTAATAGTTTGACATGTTGAAATTGGCAAAAGCAATGTTATTTTACAGCTTTCGCAATTTAACCACAGTAGGAAATAAGTGGCAAATACTAGGCCACTTCTTAAGCTCAACTTCTAGATATAGCTCCACAACAGTCCGAGATTGTGTCACCAGCCCTCATTTTTGAGTCGTCTCTTTCCTCTTCTATATCCACTATGGACCCCCTCCAACTCTTAAGTTCTGTCTTTTAGCATATGACCATCCGAGCAGACATTAACTGCTCTTTCTCCATCCCCACCAGAGACAATTGTGGCTATCTTGCAGTACCTTGACATTAAAAAATAAACCGGGTCTGTCTCTGCCTCTCTCTCTCCAGTAGGTAAGAAAACGTCTTTTTTTTCTCTTTTCCTCGCCTCACCCCTCCTGTTCTTGTTTGTGCACCATCTATTCCTAGAGTAGTCATCTGCTCTCATTGAGTGTTCTCATTGCCATTGTTCCTTCCACTGATGCTATGTCCTGCTCTGGAGCACACATTCATTCCTGTCCCTTCTCAGCCTGAATCCCTTGACTGCCCCTCACCAGCACCTCTTTCCATGCCAACTTACCTGTTGCCTAAGGTAAGGTTCGGCTAAGCCCCAAAATCAAGATGCCCTCAAGAAGAGTGTTCCCTAGGGATCATTTGTTCCTTGTTCAAATCCTTAGTTAATTAAATACCATTTATGTCACATTATCTTGTGTCCTTAGGCTCTTGCTCCCTGTAAATGCAACTAGACTATTTTTCTCGACTACATGCTAGTTTTTTTGGGGGGGGGGGGGGAATAGTACCGAATATAAAATAAATCTTGTACAATGGCACACTTAAATTTCTAGTTAAGTCGTATAATGTAAGTAACGAAGAGATCAATTAAAATATTGAGAAGTGTACATTTTTCTTCATTTGCCTATATCTACAATATTAACTAAATCCTACTGGAAAATACAAGTAACATTATCCACATTTCAGGAAATGGAAACTGGAAATCCAGATACATGTATCTGGATTTAATTATAAATTCTGAATATTAACGTTATTATATGTAATCAATTTTTTCTCAAAACTGTGCATAGTGGTGACCCTGAACAAAGATAATTGCACCATGTAAGGATTAAGTATGGTTGCAAGTGCCTATAACACTACTGACAAAGCTCAACTTCACCGTTGACAGGAATAACTTTGTATTTAACAGCTGCTTTAATAAAATGTCATCTGGAGAGAAAAACATGGTAAATAAGGTTTAATTTATAATGTCTCACAAAAGGGAAACACATACATAAAGTGTTAAATAAACATTGTGGACCATTGGAAGGCATATGCAGTAATACACATTGCTTTGTAGTAAATGTAACTCTTCATGAGAATAAGTTCAGAAAATAAGATTGAACTATACAAGATATAGTACATTATTCAGATTTCCACACCTAAAGCTTAATTTCTGTGGATATGATCAAATGCTTACCAAGCTATAATGTATTGTTTTATTAATATGTAGTTTTAATGCCCTTTTTTAAGATACTGCTGCAACTTTTACATTTTCAGCCTTTTCTTTAATGTATGTTTCATGATTAATTCTAAACTGTTCACAACTTGGTAAGCTACAAAGACGCACCTGGAAAAAGAAAAATTTATTATTAGTCTACTGATGTACAAGACAGTTCAATTTTTAGCTTACAAATATCAGATAACTGAAGAGTAAGCAGTTAATGAGAATTACAGAAAATTCATGTCTTTAATATAGTGACAACAGTTTCTAAACATTTCAAGGAAGGAACACATCCAAAATAAAAACTATGGAACAATACATAGGTTATAGTATTGTAATATAAATTGGCAATGAGTTCCAAGTCTACAGAAAACAACCAACAAAACAGCCTATCACTTGCACCATGATAATATGACGGACAAATGGATTCATTTTCAGGGAATACAAAATTTGTTCCTTGAATATATGTAAATTAATAATTCCTTCAAACCTCAAATTAAAAAGCTCTACAATGTTCAAAATAGATTTCAAATTAATGGTAGTTCTTTCAACAGGACAGATGGCAAATAATTCCATAAAACACCTGCAATATTGTAAAGCAAATACGTATAATATATGATTTCACAGAGAGGGCAGGAAGCTTGTTATCCTTATCAAGGACTATGCCAATGACAACTTCTCTAATATAACGATGAGACCCACAACAGCTGTCTATGAACAGGTACATATTTAATGTTAAATGAACAAGCACAAGGTGCAAAACAAAAAAATAAATAAAAAATTATCGGGAATTTAATTTTTGGAACGTTCAGTAATTTCTTCAGAAGCATGACTAAAACAGCTAGGCCACAAGGGTAGGGTACACAACACCTTTTAGTAACTGACAGATTATGTTGGAGAAAAGAGATGCATGAACAAATGTGCCACATCAATTACAATAACAAAACTTGCATCATGCAAAAACCTGAATTTTAACTATGTTTAATTATCAAAGAAGAAGTCGGCATTAGATGAAAGTGTAATTGGCAGTCATCAAACGCCATGGAACAAAATCCACAAGGGTTCAGCATTTTGTTTAAAAGTTGTTAAATTGATGATGACATACAAACACTGAAATGCTTAATTCTCTGGATGTCTGCCTATTAGACACACAAATCACAATAGCATGATGCATCAAATGAACAAATCCACGAGGGCCGTAATGAGGGTTTGAATCTACGCCTGAGAGGATCCCAGATGCGCCTTAATCGACTGTGCCACGATATCAAAAAAGAATTGCAACCGGGGGTTCAACTGACCCTACATGGATCCTGCAGTCTCACCGAGACACAAACCAGGATTTTACACAATTCCCCCATGCACCCGGGCTCTGTCGATAAGCTATTCTACCTCTTCGCCCTTATTTACTTGAAGGGCAAAAAGGTAGAATAGCTTGTTGACAGAGCCTGGGTGCATGGGGGGAATTGTGTAGAATCCTGGTTTGTTGTCTCGGAGAGACTGCAGGATCTGTGTGAGGTCAGTTGAACTCCTGGTTGCAATTCTTTTGCCATGTCATGGCACAGTCGATTAACACATGTCTAAGACCCTCATTGACGTAGGTTCCAACCTTCATCATGGCCCTTGTGGATTTGTTCATCTGCCTATTAGATTTGACAAAATTTCTTACACTAGGAAACACTATCTACAATAGGCTACCCCCTACTTTTTTATTTTTCTACAGCACTGTGCACTGTGATCTACTCAGCCAACCTTTTGTAGCTTTCAAAAGTTCAAATATGAAAAGTTTATATAACATTTACAAAACTATTGCCTAAGTTAACATTCTGTTTAAGAGGAATAAAACGTCTTAAAATTTCAGAAGAACCAGAAACAGCTCAAGATAAAACTACCGGTATGTAGTACTCACCAAGGTAACAAGTTGACCAGATTTTCTGAGAGACTTATGGTTTTCAATGTCCCTAAGAAGAGTTGCAAGATTTTCTTCAAGTTGCTCATCTGTCATACTTAGCTGACACAAAAAAATTATTTTATCATTTTTTTTATAAAATGCAGTCATATTTTGTAATTCTTAATATTACATAAAGTATTACTGACAAACATTGCTGCACATGTCCTTTTGTTTCTTCTAAAAGTATGTTCTGATTGCAAAAGTATCACACAAAACACAGTTTACCCTAAAAAATCTGGATCATATCATTCTGGACCAATTACGGATTTGCATAAAATTCTACAAAATTTTGGGGCTTGTTATTTTATCTGGTAAAAAAGAAACATCCTGACCACATACACCTAAGCTATCTTGCTTTAAATAAAATGAGAGATGGGAGATATACAATGTTATAAATATGACTAAAGGCTACAAAAAAGTTGTACAACGGTTTGTGTACATGTGCTACCTCACACCGCTGCCAGTATCTCTTTACAAGATGAATGTTTACTTCAGACTTAAGCTAATTTACATACTATTCCATTCTATATAAAAAATGAGCGATAAAGAGAATGCATGTTAAGATTCATAAATAACATGTAATATGATTTTCAGGTGTACAGTACTGTACAGTACTTTTTTTTTTTTTTTAACTTAGGAGATACATTAGGTTTTGTAATAATTTTAACTGGTAGGCTCACATACAATTAACATCTTGTTACTGCAGTGAACAACTGCAATTTTGAAAGAGCACTATAAAACGTTCAGCCCACTCTCTAGAATGGAATACTGCTGCACAATGACAGCCCCTTTTAAAGCTGGAGAAATTGCTGACCTGGAGAGCGTGCAGAGATCCTTTACTGCTAGAATCCACTCAGTAAAACATCTAAACTATTGGGACCGACTAAAGAGCCTAAACTTATATTCTCTTGAGCGCAGGCGGGAGAGATACATAATAATTTACACATGGAAAATAGTAGAGGGGCTGGTCCCAAACCTGCACACAAAAATAACAGCACATGAGACCAGAAGGCATGGCAGGATGTGCAGAATACCCCTGTTGAAGAGCAGAAGTGCAACAGGTACTCTGAGAGAGAACTCTATCAACACCAGAGGCCCGTGACTGTTCAACACGCTTCCACTACACATAAGGGGCATAACTGGCCGACCCCTCACAGTGTTCAAGAGAGAACTTTACAAACATCTCCAAAGGATACCTGATCAACCAGGCTGTGACTCATACGTCAGGCTGCGAGCAGCCGCGTCCAACAGCCTGGTTGACGAGTCCAGCAACGAGGAGGCCTGGTCGACGACCGGGCCGCGGGGTTGCTGAGCCCCGGAATCACCGCAAGGTAACCTCAAGGTAAGGTCCTCCTGTTTAGATAACACTTATAGAACACTGTGAACCATTGTACATGTATATTTATGTAATGGACAATTAGAAAGTAAAATTTGGTCCTATTGAATTTGGACAAACCAGATAAGATTTTGTATTTATGTTGCTAACAAAACCTAACCTAACTATGCTATCCAAGGCCTAATACAGTACATATACAGTATATGCTATACTAACCCCTAGGAATATTCAAGTTTGGTTTTGGCTTATTTCTTCCAAACTTTTATGAAGTGAATTGAAATGAATAGCACCAAATTCTACTGTCTAATTGTCCATGTCAATATAAGCATGATGGTCCAGTTACAAAGAATACTATTTAAACAAGAGGATGAGTTGAAAATGTTATGAACTATATTGTCCCACTTATTCCCCAACCAACCCTTAAGTTACATGTGTAACGACACATTCTATCTTACTGTAGTGTAATGTTTTTAATATCTAACATAATGCACTGATTCAGTGCTGTGCAGTGGCATCAAGCCTTATACTGCTCAAATTGCCGTATCGTATGTGAATGATCCCTATGGATTTTCTATACTATACTTTTATTCCATGAGTACCTGGAGGTAGGACTTTTTGAGTAAGTGTGCAGTTTGAGGGTTAAACAGGTAATGCATGTACTGTGCTAGAATGTTCCTGTGGCAGTCATCTCTGATCTAAATGGGAATTCTATATGGCTTAAATTTCTATGACATGAATCTCTTTCTGGCCATTTTGTACTTCAGGAAAATCTCCCTAGCACCTAATATGACCTATCAACAAGTTTGAATGAATCTAGTGACAATGGTGCAATAAGTTTTCCTGCTTAACTGTTCCTGTCCATGGACACAACCATACTTTAAAGGAGCAGCAGAATATGATATCTTTGAAAAAAAAGAGTAATTCTTCCATAATCAACAGAAGTAAATTATTGTATTTAACAAGGCGAGTTCTCAGGGGATGAAAGGTATTGATGACATACTGAAAATTTTCAACATGTACTTACCCTGCCAAAAGTAGCTTCTATTGTTGCAAAGTCAGGATGATATTTGTTTACAGCGGTCCTATACTCAACACCTTTCATAAAGCGTTCAATGATGGGAATAATATCAGTGCAAGCAGTGCCTATAGAAGAATAAGTATGTTATTAATTACATAAATTAAGATACATATAACTCATTTTACACTAATTTTAATTTTGTTTTAGTTCAATTTTTTATTTGATTTATATATACTGTACAAGAGTTCTTACATTTTTGTAAAGTCACTAACTCACACAGCGTTTCGAGCAGGTTCTTAATTCTATTTTTTCCCCGGAATATGACCCGCCAAATCATTTAACAACTAAGTGCACATTCACTGCTGGCTACAGAGGCTACAGTTAAAGACTTGCATCCAGTCAAACCTCCCCAGCCAGGATATGAACCCAAGCCAAAGCGCTCGCAAAGTGCGTGCTTTGGCTCTCTTGCTCAGTTGTAAAACAAAATGTCTTACCACTGTACCAAAGGGATTTAATTACTGTAGAATAAATAATAATGGTAAAATCTTATTTTTCAGCGATCTTATGATCAACCAGGTTGCGATTCACACGTCAGGCTGCGAGCAGCCATGTCCAACAGCCTGGTTGACCAGTCCAGCAATGAGGCGGCTTGTATTCATTCCATGCACATTTATACAACTATTGAAGAACCTGTACACTAATCGTAAAGCAATTACATCCTCCTAACAAGGGTATAGCCTGGCTCAAGGACTTTCATAGCACTGGGCCTCTAAGTTTTCTCTCTTTATACAACTCACTCATCAGCCAGCACATAAATTCTCTTAGGCTAGTGTTACAAGTAGGGTTATGTATCAATATTTGAAACTCTCTGCTTCATCCTCTAAATCATTAGATATCATAAAGGCAAAAGTTTGAATGGTAAATAAAATAAAATAAAGGTAAGATGTGCAAATATATTTGTGGATATGATTTATTATACTGACCATTATAAGAGAAGACAAATGCAAAGCTTAAAAATACTCACCATCTTTTATACTTGGGAACCTCCTCCTCATTAGTCCACGTATAGCTACCAGCTCTGGCAGTGTGTCTATTTCAGCAATAAAGTGCTGATAATCCTGCAAGCTTACCTCACCATTCTGGAAATATTTTACAATTATAATTGATATCAAGAAATAAAACAAATTAAATAATTTAAAAAGTTATAAGCTAAAAATGAGTAAACAAAATCTAGCATTTAATGTAATGAAACAACGTTTTGGTGGGTTACTCAGTACCTACAACCTAGAAGCTATGAGGCCTTGGGGAATACACCAGACCTTAGGGGACCCAGGAATGCCTAGCGAGAACCAAGACCAGAATCCGGCCCAATCAAGGCGGTAAAAGTGAGCCTGGGAATCAGAGATAACCAAAGTATAAAGAGAATCCCACCAAAATGCAAAAAGGTACTCCAAAACCAGTACAGGTGGTACCTCAGTTTACGAATTTAATCCGTTCCCAGAGAGAGCTCGTAACCCAAAAATTTGTAAACCGAAGCAAATTTCCCCATAAGAAATAATGGAAAATGAATTAATCAGTTCCAGACTCCCCAAAAAATTAACTTCAAAGTAAATTTTATCCCTAATTCACCCAAATCTTCAGTACAAAAGTACAAGTTATTACATTACCTTTACTGATGATGCCTATCGGTGTATGGAAGACGGTGAGGAGAGGGGGAAAGGGGAGAGAGGTGTTACTGTTTGGAAGGGGAGCCCTCTTCCATTATAACATCAGGCAGTGATGACTTCTCTGGGGTACACTCTCTGGCACGTTTTGCCTGCATACCACTAGGACCTGCTTGTGGCTCACTGCTTGCTTGTCTTACTAAGAATCTGTCTAAAGACACTTGTTTTCCCTACATTTTAACACTTGTCTGTAGTAAGACATCACATTGTCGTTTAAAAAGGTCAATGCAATGATTGAATCTTACCACTGACTTTCTTGGGACCCTTGGCAAGATATATAATAATTACTTTTATGTTCAAATACCCAAAAAACATTTAAATTCTTTACAAAGAATTCAGGCGCGATTGTCACTAGACGAGATCCACTGGTAAACTGAGGTGCAATCGCTGTGCCACCACATGCTAGGTCAGCCCATACGCGTATCAACAAACTCTTCTGCCTCAATTCAAAGAAGGCCTTTGATTTTAGGTGGATAGGAAAATATGATACAGACAAGAATCACCACCTTAAGGGGCCAGTAGGTAGTTTATTAAAAGTTGTTCAATGTCAACCAATGTTTTTTTACTAGTTGTATATGAAAAGGGCTGCAATTGTTCCAAGTTTCAGTACTGCAGCCTAAATAGAAAGGGAGATTTTTTTTGTTTTGTTTTTTCAACGAATATTACACATTTTCAAGCGAGTTGAAACCTTCCACCTTTTCAGATATAATCATTCTATAACACTTTTCTGATACATTAGCATATAATAAAGGATCTGAGGAATGGGATTTTCCAAAAAATGTTTAGTGGAGAATAATACACATAGTCTAAGGAATAGCTCCACAGCTATTCTCCTAATACAAATAGTCTAAGTTCCCTCCCCCCAAAAAAAATATGCAAGTGGCTGTGGCAAGTTCCCAGTGGCTGCCTCACTGGGTGGCAGCCACTCTTGTTTTGCTCACCATACAAGCTTCGTGGTTCGCTCTGGAGAACACACATGTACATGGGTATATACAGAGAGTGTAATTACCTAAGTGTAGTTACAGGATGAGAGCTACGCTCGTGGTGTCCCGTCTTCCCAGCACTCTTTGTCATATAACGCTTTGAAACTACTGACGGTCTTGGCCTCCACCACCTTCTCACTTAACTTGTTCCAACTGTCTACCACTCTATTTGCGAAGGTGAATTTTCTTATATTTCTTCATCATCTGTGTTTAGCTAGTTTAAATCTATGACCTCTTGTTCTTGAAGTGCCAGGTCTCAGGAAATCTTCCCTGTCGATTTTATAAATTCCTGTTACTATTTTGTATGTAGTGATCATATCACCTCTTTTTCTTCTGTCTTCTAGTTTTGGCATGTTTAATGCTTCTAACCTCTCCTCGTAGCTCTTACCCTTCAGTTCTGGGAGCCACTTAGTAGCATGTCTTTGCACCTTTTCCAGTTTGTTGATGTGCTTCTTAAGATATGGGCACCACACAACAGCTGCATATTCTAGCTTTGGCCTAACAAAAGTCATGAACAATTTCTTTAGTATATCGCCATCCATGTAACTAAATGCAATTCTGAAGTTAGAAAGCATAGCATAGGCTCCTTGCACAATATTCTTTATGTGGTCCTCAGGTGATAGTTTTCTATCTAGAACCACCCCTAGATCTCTTTCTTTATCAGAATTCTTTAAAGATTTCTCACATAATATATAGGTTGTGTGGGGTCTATGTTCTCCTATTCCACATTCCATAACATGACATTTATTAACATTAAATTCCATTTGCCAAGTGGTGCTCCATATACTTATTTTGTCCAGGTCTTCTTGAAGGGCATGACAATCATCTAAATTTCTTATCCTTCCTATTATCTTAGCATCAACAGCAAACATGTTCATATAATTCTGCATACCAACTGGTAGATCATTTATGTACACAATAAACATCACTGGTGCAAGAACTGAACCCTGTGGTACTCCACTTGTGACATTTCTCCAGTCCGATACATTGCCTCTGATTACTGCCCTCATTTTTCTATCAGTCAGAAAATTTTTCATCTATGATAGAAGCTTACCTGTCACCCCTCCAATATTTTCCAGTTTCCAGAACAACCTCTTATGTGGAACTCTGTCGAAAGCCCTTTTTAGGTCCAGATAGATACAGTCAACCCAACCATCTCTTTCCTGTAATATCTCTGTGGCTCGATCATAGAAACTGAGTAAATTCGATACACAGGATCTTCCAGATCGAAAACCATACTGTCTGTCTGATATTATATCATTTCTCTCCAGGTGTTCTACCCATTTAGTTTTGATTAGTTTTTCCAATACTTTCACTATTACACTTGTCAATGATACAGGTCTATAATTGAGGGGGTTTTCCCTGCTGCCACTTTTGTAGATTGGAACTATGTTAGCCTGTTTCCACACGTCTGCTACGATTCCTGTACACAGGGATGCCTGAAAGATCAGGTGAAGTGGAATGCTGAGCTCAGATGCACATTCTCTCAGAACCCATGGTGAAACTCCATCTGGGCCAGCTGCTTTGTTCTTACCGAGCTCCTTTAGCATATTTTCCACTTCATCTCTAGACACCTCTATCCGCTCTATGTTGTTCTCTGGAATTCTTATTGTGTCTGGTTCTCTGAAGATTTCATTTTGTACAAACACACTTTGGAACTTTTCATTTAATGTTTCACACATTTCCTTTTCATTTTCCGTGAATCTGTTTCCCATTTTCAACTTCTAGATATTATCCTTTACCTGCAATTTGTTGTTTATGAATTTGTAGAATAGGCCCGGTTCTGTTTTACATTTATCCGCTATCCCTTTTTCAAAATTTCTTTCTGCCTCTCTCCTTACTGCTGTATAGTTGTTTCTCGCATCTTTGTATCGCTGGTATGTTTGGGGGTTTGGCCTCTTCCTATACTGATTCCATTTTTGTGTCTTTTGGTCTCTTGCCCTCTCACAATTTCTGTCGAACCAATCCTGTTTTCTGGCCCTGCATCTCTGTTTTGGTATAAATTTTTTTGTGCCTTTATCATATATTTCACAAAACTTGACATACATCTCATTCACTTCCTTGCCTAGCATCAAGTCTGTCCAATTATACTCACTAAAAAAATTTCTAAGGTCACCATAATGTCCTCTCCTGAAGTCTGGTTTTTCAACTGCTTCAACCTCCTTATTTTCTTCCAGCTTATAACGCATTGCATACTTTATTCCCAAAAAGACATGGTCACTTTTACCCAAGGGAGGAAGGTACTGAATGTCAAATATCTCTTCCTCCTTCCTGGTAAATATCAAATCTAGCATGGAGGGAACGTCCCCTTCCCTCATCCTCGTAGCTTGTTTAACATGTTGATACAAGAATGTTTCCAGGATGAGGTCTACAAATTTACAGGTCCAAAAATCTTCTGTTTTAGCTTCATATGCTTCCCAGTCTGTGTGTGTGTGTGTGTGTGTATATAGTGTAATAACAGCAACAGGAGTATGTTGAGTGGAGCTATTTTGGAGAGGGAGGTGACATCGTAATCGTAGCATCGTCTGCTGTGTGATTTCTCATGCAATGTATGGTGGCCACTGTACCGTTTGGACACAATACCAGCTTACTTGCATAGTTCTGGTAAATAAAACATGTGTAAATAGTGTAATAAAAACAATAACAGTATGTTGGGACGAGCAATGTTGGCGAGTAAGATGTGCGAGTGAGGGAGGGCCTGTCGGTGTGGCTGCTCACACTCGTGACGTTCTGAATGTGTTGATGGTAAATGTAAATAGTGTGTGACAGTGTATAGTGTGTATATATGTTGTAAATATACATAAATGAACAAGAAACATTGGTGTGAATAACTGTATGATGGGAGGAGCAATGTGGCGAATACAATGTTGGAGGAGTGAGGGAGGGCTGGCTGGGTGTGACAGCTCACACTCGCGGTGTTCTGAATGTGTTGATGGTGAATGTATATAGTGTGTGACTGTGTATAGTCTGCAAATAGATTGTATATGTACATAAATTAGCATGATTCATGGTAAATATGTGCAACATATGTGTACACAAGTGTCATGCACGTAACACAGTGTCCTTGGACAGTACGGATGTTTTACTGCCATAATATAGTGTACGTGTTCATTATACATAGGATTAGCCTGTAAAAACAAATAAAATGTATTTGGAACTGTGCGCAAAAAATGAACAAAACTACATTCGCGGCAACTCGCGGACCCCACCCCGGGCGCCCTACTGACCCCGGGAGCGTACGTCACGGGCGAACAGGGAATGAGGACGTCACGCGCCAACTTACGGACCCCATAGCAGCCAAAGTAAGCACAATTTCGATTTTTTTTTTTACATACCTATACTGAGGGAAGGGTTTTTGACACTTGGGGGGGGGGGGGGTCATATTTGGTGGCGGCGCAGTTAAAGGGTTAAAGGTACTTTGTGCTTGTGGTCCGAGTATGTAGTGTCTGAGATTGTAATATCTCTAATTGTTTGTTCAGCATTGTTTGTGAAGATCAGGTCTAGTATGTTTTTGTTCTTAGTTGGTTCTGTAATCCGTTGGTTGAGTGAGAATGACACAGAATCTCAACAGTTCTCTGACCAGCAGTTAATTATTTCCAGGTTGGTTTCCTGCTATCATATTATTGTTTGCCATTCCCCATCTTAAACTGGGTAGATTGAAGTCTCCAAGGAAGAACATTTTTGGAACTGGATTTGCTAGGTTATCAAGGATATTCATTGTGACATGCCTTTGTACATAGAACTATAGTAATAGGCATTGATAAGAACTTGTCAAAACCAACATAGGCAACAATGGGACACTGCATATATAATGCACCCTCAGATGGTCTAATTCTTAGCCAGAAAAGGAAGATTGGGATGGAGATGTGCAAATGTGCCATCTTGACTAAAGGAGAGGAAACCCTGAAGACAAAAAGTGCAATTCACTCACCCTGTGGAACTTGTTCCCTCTTTACCATCAATGAGATTTACCATTACGTTTCTGAAAAGACCAATTATAACCTTTATGTGTACTCCCTGAAGTTGTCTTTGCCTGTACTCTCGAACAGTTGGCGAAGAATGACAGGAAGTACCATGATACTCGTCTGGGAGGCTCAAGCACCAGGCATTCTTCTCTCCTCTAAAAATGTAGACAGAGTGGACAACTCATAGATGCCCTTTCCTCGAGAAGCCACCATGGCAGACTCCTTTATAATGACTCACTTATAATAAGACATTTGGCCAAAAGGTCATCTAGCATCATCTAAAAACCTTCAGAATGTCAGATTCAGAAAACAGCAATGTGGAATTGGAAAGCAATAGCCTAACTGCACCAGAACTGGAATTATTCTAACACTAAATTTCTGTACATCAGATGGGTACAGGCGGCCACTACCAAATTGTGCCTTACCAAAGTGAACAACTTGGGATGTCTCAGTTGCTTGTTTTGGTGCATATTGTCTCTGGAGAATGTTTTCCCATCTTCGGATTAATCTGTGATCAAGTTCTTTTGGCCTCAGAGAGTCAGATTGTAGTCCTGGTTGGGTTGCAGAGGCCAAGTACATTCCAACAAGGCTTGGCTGAACCAGTGCATAGCTAGGGCATTGCTGAGGAGGCCCACCCAGAAAACTCACAGTAATAACAATAAACATCAATACTAATAACTTCACAGCAGACTGACCTGCACTTGTTTAATAATTTCCACACCAGCTGCATATGTCACTCCCATCTCCCAAGCTTTTTCAATCACTTTCTTATTTCGAGATATGGCCAGGACTGTTCGCTGCTGTTCGCTCTCAAACTCGTGTGGCAGTTGAACTACGCTGAAGAAATTGTCAACATAACGGTTCTGTACAAAAGAGAATAACAAAAAATATGGCAGAAATGCAATTTAAAAAAACAGCATTGAATGTAATGAAACGCCATTTTCTGGAAGAGTCCCGGAGGCTCCCCGGAGCAATCCATGGATGATAGGATACCCTAACTATTTTGTATTAGTCAATGTGGGTAGAGTTCTAGGCCTACCGGGGAACCACGAACCCTCACAGAGGCACGAGAAGCAATGGCCCATAGAAATGCACATGTGATTTGGAGCATTCTATATCTGCCATTGACCGGGACAGGCACCCAGAAAGGTAAGCGCCACAAAACAAACCCCTATTCTGGTTAACAACGAAAATTGTCAAACGAGTGGACAGAACTCCCAAAAAGAAAAACGAGCAAACAAGCATGATGTCACACGAGCCGCGCCGCATGTCTGCGCAGTTCCCCCCTTCCCGGGAGGGGGAAGGGGAAGCCCCAAACCCCTCACACTAGCAATCCCCACCCCAGTTCTGAGGCTGGATATAAAAAACTGCACAAAAAATGCTGACCGGAGGGAGGGAGGGTTGCCAGGGAGACTCTGGGACTCGCCCAGAAAATAGTGTTTCATTACATTCAACACTGGTTTTCTGGAGGGAGCCCCTACGGCTCCCCGGAGCTACTTCACCAAAGACAACAAAAGGAAAAAGGGAACTTACCCGGGAGGCTGTCGGTGCTCCATTCCTCTACTCGAAGTCTAGACAACCGGCTGCAACTGCCGACCCAAAGCAACACAGGCCCGACTGGGCCCAGGAACGTTCACAAGGTAGCGTGCTGCAAGGACCCTATTCAACCGCCAAAAATCCTGAGCCTGAATGTCAGCCCAAGACATATTGCCAAAGACGGTAGCAAGAGCAGCAAACTTACAAACGTCATGGGCACGGGGATAGACCGCAGGCTGGCTAGATTTAATTACCCTGCGGACAACCTGAGAGACCCGAACCCATGAACAGGGAAGGAGGGAAAGCAGATCCACCCAAACCACGTCCCCGGACACAGAAACTGTGGCGCGCAGAGAACGGCGGAGGGCCGCAACCGGACACAACACACAATGAACCTCCGGCCTGACCAACCAAGCATCAACAACCCAAGGACCCCTCCGGAAGGCAGCAGTCTCATTCTTCGCCAGAAAAGAAGGAGACGGCTGTAGACAGACATACCTATGACCACAACCGAAGGAGCAAAAAAAACCCCTGCGCCAGAGAAGAGCATGAAGCTCCGTCACAGGACCCCCAGAGGCTAATGCCATCAGAAAAAGAGCCTTAGCAAAACAATCCTGAACCGAAGGGGCCACAACAAACCGAGGAGAGCACCGTGTCCAAAGACCAGGACGGCTAAAGCGGCGCATCAGCAGGCTGGAGGTGAAACAATGCACAAGACAGCTTACGAAATGCCGCAGAAGTAACATCGATACTGAAAGCAAGCTGCAGCGGCTCTGACAGCGTCGCACGATACGAAGCAACAGTAAACGGCATAAGATGACGGTCTTGGAACAACCAAGAGAGAAAGGACAACACCACCCGAACCGAAAGCAAAGAGCAACGACGAAGGGACAAAAAGAACCAGAAGGACCACCAGGAAACCTCATACTGCCGCTGAGAGGAAGCCCACAGGTGGGGAAACCAGCAAGGAAACCACCTGATCACCATAGAGATGGCGATAAACACGAGTCAAAAACACCAAACGCGAAGACTCACGGAGAAGAGCAAACCAGTCTCGTACCGGACCGGGCTGATCTCCTGAAAGAGGCGGAGCCGCAGAAAAACCTCCGGGTTTGGACACCGGGCAAGCAGCGCCTGAAACTACAGCTGGGTCGCCACCATGGGGCCAAGAGGACTACCCACCCCTGGTAAGTCTCCATTGAGCCAGGACCTGGAGCAACAGCTGAACCGGGGTAAAGAGGTACAGGAATCCCCCACCTTGACCGGTCCTGCCGAAAGGCGTAGATTCTGACAGCCTCGCAGTCGGGCCAGGGCGCCACATAGACCGGAAGACGCCTTGACCATGCCGACGCAAAGAGGTACACCTCCGGGTGCCCGAACGTCTGGCAGAGCCAACTGAACGAGTCTGCATTGACCGTTGCAACGGTCATTTTCTGGGTGAGACTCTGAGGTTCCCCAGAGCTATACCGGGCTGATGTGTAGATATTAGACTGTGGGCAACAGTCAATCGATGGAATTCTAGGCCTACCGGGGACCAATGTTGGAACCTGGCCCCCCCCCTCAGAGAGGCATGAGGAGCAATGGCCTATAGACACTCCCATGTCTCTAGGCCATTGGGGGCTATAGACTCCCATATAAATGGGCTTTCCCTTTCCCCTCCCGGGGAGAAGGGAGTTGCGCAGACAGCGGCGCTGCAGCTGTGGTGACGTCATGCTTGTTTACTTGTTTTCGATGGGCGAGTTCTTGCTAGTTCGGCTTTTGGTTTGCAACTTTTTAACCAGCTGTAGTTTGTTTTGAAATTCCTACCTTTCTGGATGCCTGACCTGGTAGATAGTAGACATAATGCTTCCAATTACACAAGAGGGGAGGGGGTGTCTATAGACCATTGCTCCTCATGTCTCTTGAGGCCAGTTTCTGGTGCTGGTCCCCAGTAGGTCTAGAACGCCATCGATTGACTGTTGCCACGGTCTAATATCTACACATCACCCCAGTATTGCTCCAGGGAGCCGAAGGGGCTCTCCACAGAAAAATGTTTGATCATGAGGATAAATAATTAAAAACAAAAAATTCTAATAAACACTGACCTTTTTGTCTGTAGACATATTAAGCTCAATATATGCATTTATGTATGCATCTGGGAGCCCAATTTGTGTCTCGTGATGTGTCTCTCGATGCATTGTTATAGCATCTCTCACACTGAATGTCTGAAAAAATGTCAAATTTATGTACAATTTGATGTATGTGTTATAGTATAGACTAATATGTCATGATCATATTTGCACATAGTGAAGTACTGTACATGTAGGAAGTAAAATTATAAAGGAAATTTCATGCATGGAAAAATGTTGAAGGAGGCATTTCAAGAGTTCACATCACATCAAGATAACCTCAAGATAACCACTGAAAGTAGCAGCAATTTAACCACCTCATTCTACACCTTCAGGCAACTACTTGCTTTCTAGCTCTCTTTGCTTTAAACTTTTGCTCCTTAGCATTACAAGAAAAAACAAAAACGTTGAATGTAATGAAAGCCATTTTCTGGGTGAGAATCCGGAGGCTCCCTGGAGCTATCCAGGCTAATACTGTATGTATATTATTAGACTTTGAGATCAGTCAGTGTGAATGGAGTTCTAGGCCTACCAGGGACCATGAGCCAGAACCTTGGCCTCCTCAGAGAGGAATGAGGAGCAATGACCTATAGAAGTGCACATGTGCTTGGAGCATTCTTTGTCTGCCATCGACCAGGCCGGACAACCAGAAAGGTAAGAGCCTCAAAACAAACTCCCTATTCTGGCTAAAACTACTACTGAAAGCTAACGAGTGGACAGAACTCCCCAAATGAAAAATGAGCAAACAAGCATGACGTCACACTTGCCGTGCCGCTTGCCTTCGCAGCTTCCCCCTCCCCAGAAGGGAAAGGGGGAGCCAGAGACCCCTCGCGCGGCTATCCACCTGTCAATTCAAGGCTGGATGTCAAAACACGCGAAAAACTGCGGACCGAGGAAGGGAGGGTAGCTGGGGAGCCTCCGGGTCGCATTCAGAAAATGGCGTTTCATTACATTCAACGCTGGTTTTCTGGGGTGAGCCTCTTCGGCTTCAAGGAGCTACATCACAAAAGACGAAAATTGCAGTCAGCACTCACTCCTCGACTCGAAGTCAAGACAACAGGTTGCAACCGCCAAGCCAAAGAGACACAGGCCCGACTAGAACCAAGAACACTTGTGAGGTAGCTTCCAGCCAGGACCCTGTACGACCTCCAAAAACCCCATGCCCGAATGTCAGCCCAAGACATGTTACCGAAGAAAAGGCTGCATCCAGGGTAAAAGCTTTCAAGAAAGGAGTCTTGCTGGGTTGACCCAGAAGCCTCGGCAGGAAAATCTGACTCGACAATCTCCTTGCCCAAATCGGAAAGGGCAGTCCCTGAAGCCACCTGAGCCTCATTCAGAGCTAAACCCAGCCCCGACTCTGAAACCCTCAGATGTTTAGGAGCTGGAAGCAAGGAGAGAAGGAGCAGGGCAAACCACGCCCATCTGGGAAGGAAACAGGGGTGCAAAAGGAACCAAAGTCAAGGCAACTAACGCCAAAAAATCCTGGTAACTAAAACCTAAGCGGGGCATCTCCGGGGCCTTCAACCAGGCAACCAACCTAGCCCATTGCAGTAAAGAGAATCGAGCATGCAAAACCGCTGCCTGATCCTCGAGATCAACAGAAAAGGAATGAGTAAAGTGAAGTACAAGTAGGGAACAAGGCCCACAAAACTCCGGGTCAGTAGTCTCTCTAACCCAACAGGCTGCATGACGGAGGCAGTACAGATGATCGTTTCCCTGAGGCAGGGGCAACGAATACCCTATAACTTCACACAAGCGAGATCGGGCTCAGAAGAAGTAGCCATTGTACGACCGAGCCCACGGGGGTTTTCCAGGATACGTAGGGCGAATGAGCCCTACGGAGAGCCCAAGCACTGGAGTAGAACCCTGTCAGGTAGCAAGCAAACTGACCACCAGCAGTAGCTATGAAACCTCCGGGGGGAAACAAAGGAGGGCTACCAACACAACATAGGTTTGTCTAATAAGAAGCTAAGCAGACCTCTTCCATCTAAACAAGGCAAGAATACCAGTGAATATAAAGGAAATGAAAACAACCCCCCCCCCAGACACACAAACAAACTGGCAATCAGAGAAAGATTGGCTGCTGCATTGAAGTAAAGCTAGTTGTACCAGCCAATAACACTACCCTACCCTGGGCAAGACAGAAAGCCTTAGACCCCGACATACTCCAAGGGTGAAGACAGCATCAAGTGATGAAGGCCTCAAATGGGGAGTGAATTCCGAATGCCCCAGGGAAGATAACCCTGACACGCAAAGGCAGCACTCATGGAATACCTAGGGAAAGGTCACCCTAGGCGCATTCGGCTCTTGTACACTAAAACACCTAGCCACCACACTATACACAGCTAGAGCAGCCACAGAGAGCAAAACTTCAGAACAGGAACTTGAGGCCAGAGGTGACTGAAATGACCACTAGCACATCAGTTCAAGAACTGGAGTGACGGGCTGCCAGCTCCCCCCTCCCCCTATGGGGAAAATGGGTAGCGCTACCGAGCGGAAATGTTAGTCGCATGAAGGGTTGCTTGTTTGGTGTCTTTCTAGGCGAGTTATTTTTATCTTTTGGGATGTAGATTGTACAGGTTAACCAGATAGTGGTCTGTTTTGATTTGCCTACCTTTCTGGGTTCATTACCGGTTGATGGCAAACATGACATACTGTATTTTAAATGTAAAGTGCTCATAAGCCATGGCTCACTGTGCCACTCTGAGTGGACCAGGTTCTGGTTCGTGGTTCCTGGTAGGCATAAGAACTCCTGTGACTGATGACCTGAAACTAATATAGCACATATCAGTTCAGATGGCTTCAGGGAGCCAATGGGGCTCCCCCGCAGAAAAGGAATGTTCAGCATGTATACCGCTGTTGAGAATATCGAGAAGATAATTGTGTGAAGATATATTCAAAGGTTCTTTTGGAAACAATGGAGGAATGGTATCAGCCTACAACTTCAAGAACAAGAGGTCATAGATTCAAGCTCAAGAAACAAAGGTGTCAAAATATTAGAAAGTTTTCTTTTGAAAATAGTCATAGATGATTGGAACAAGTTAAGGGGAGAGATAGATGGGGAAAACCATCAGCAGCTTCAAAGTGTCATATACGACAAAGTACTCGGAAGATGGGACACCATAAGAATTCCTTTTCTCCTGTAACTACACTTCCATAAATACAGTGAGATCTTACTTGATGCAGCAGTTACAAAATCACAAGGTTTGTTAGCTTATATTTTAAAGATAATCAAGCAGTGCTCCATTAGATTCATGTCACGTAATTTAATCATACCTGCCATCTGTAGTACCTTGCAAACCACACGTTGTCAATGGGGTCCTTCATATCACCATCAACATGTCTTGGAGATGCACCACCACTTAGTCTGTCAACAAAATATTGTTTAATAATTATTTCTCACACATTAGCTTTAGCTTTTTAGGTTTTATCAAACAAAATACTATAAACTTTTTACCACAAAGACCAAATACAGTACTGATATTTGTGTACCAATATGAATACTGTACTGGTACTCAACTCTAAAAATCTTTATCCAAATCAACTTTCTATAAGTGAATCTTTTTATGATTTCTTAAGACCATTTTGAACAATTTAACTCACTTTACACAACCTATTTCACATTTAAAATTTATCACAGTTTATCAACTTGATTGGGAACTCACAGTCCTAAATTTAGTTAGAACAATCTTCAACCATTTTATTCAATAGCAATTTCTTATTTCTCCTGTGTAAAGAGACAAACACTAAAATCATTCAGTTATATGTACTGTATAGCACTTTAATGTACAGTATTTCTAAGCATGTATTTGTAATAAGATTTTTTTGTCTTCATATCCATAATATTCTCCATTCCTATCTCCTCAAATAATAGCAATTTTCTAAAATTTACATCTTATAATTTTGTAGTTAAACCATGTATATATATATATATTCCATGGAACTTCGGCCTACCTGCCGAAGCCACAAATGCCAAAATTGTCTGGAAAAAAATCAAGGCAAATGGGGGGGGGGGGGCCTTCAACAAGCCGCCTGCTTCCTGTCCTCATCAAGACCACTAGTGTTAGTGGCCCTCAGGTAAATATACAATTTGCACAATTAATTTCCTCTCTTGCAATTTCACAAACTTCTGTTTAAATACAGGTGTACCTCGGTTTAAGAGTTTAATCCGTTCCTGGAGACAGCTCGTATTCCGAAAACTCGTATTCCAAAGCTAATTTCCCCATAAGAAATAATGGGAAATGAATTAATCTGTTCCTGACTACCCCAAAAACCCTACATCAAACTAAATTTTTATACCTAATTCATCTAAATAAACCTACAAAACTATGTTCAAGTTATTACTTACCTTGCTGGAAGATGGAAGATGGTGAGGAGGAGGGAGGAGAAGAGGTGTTACTGTTTGGAAGGAGAGTCCCCTTCCATTATAACATCAGGCAGTGAGGTCTTCACTGGTGTGCACACACTGGCACATTTTGCCTGCATACCACTAAGACTTGCTTGTCTTACTAAAAATCTGTCTAAAGACGCTTGTTTTTCCCTACATTTTAACACTTGTCTGTAGTAAGACATCACATTGTCATTTAGAAGGTCAATGCAACGGCCTGCTACAGCTTTATCTGGGTGAGTTTTTTCAAGAAAACTTTGCAATTCTTCCCATACTTCACACATTTTCTTAACACTTTAGCGTTATCATGGCGCTCAAGAGCATTACCACTTTTTGTGTTGAGGTCGCACAGTGGACTCGCTCACGAGTCACGAGAAAAAATATTTCTACCTGTATAAACTCTATTTGTTATGAGATCGACTTTGGGATAGTTTGAAAATGTCCGCCATGAAATTTCCGTTTTCTCTAATAGCCGCATAGCCTATTTGGGAGAACGGCGTAGCATTGCACCATCGAGGTAAGACCATTGTATTGTTGAAACGATAAGTGTAATTGACGTAGTTTTTTATTTGGTGCCGGTCTAACGCATCCTTGTGTGACATTTTATACTAATGTTCTTATAGAACATTCTATTGCGAACACACTGGTACAAAAATGAAATACGTAAATAAAAAATTAATGTCAGGACAGTGAAAAGAGTATACACTTTTCAGTGTTGCCACTCGATCGCCCGAAACGCAGCACTATTTTCTTAGGTTAAACCTTACCACTGGCTTTCTTGGGACCCATGGCGAGATATATAATATCTTTTATGGTCAAATGACCAAAATTCCAACAAAACACTGAAAATCCGGGTGAAGAATTTACGTGGGATAGTCACTGGGGTGCGAGGCACTGGTAAACAGAGGGGTGAGAGGCGACGATCGCCGTACCACCACGCGCTAGGTCGGCCTGTATGCGTATCAACAAACTCGCCTTCCGAGACACATTTTCCGAGGAAATCCTGCTCCTATTCCGAAAAACTCGTATACAGGGACACTCGTATTCCGAGGTACCACTGTATGCCGTATCTTTATGCCGATTCAACATTTCACTACAACTAAGTACAAGTTAGGTCGAAGATATATTCATATCACATGAATCCCCCCCAAAAAAACATTTACATCAGTACTTACCTAGTTGTGCTTGCAGGAGTTGAGCTCTGGCTCTTTGGTCCCCGCCTCTCAACTATCAATCAACTGGTAATTACCCAAGTGTAATTACCTAAGTGTAGTTACAGGATGAAAGCTACGCTCGTGGTGTCCCATCTTCCCAGCACTCTTTGTCATATAACGCTTTGAAACTACTGACGGTCTTGGCCTCCACCACCTTCTCACCTAACTTGTTCCAACCGTCTACCACTCTGTTTGCGAAAGTGAATTTTCTTATATTTCTTCGGCATCTGTGTTTAGCTAATTTAAATCTATGACCTCTTGTTCTTAAAGTTCCAGGTCTCAGGAAATCTTCCCTATCGATTTTATAAATTCCTGTTACTATTTTGTATGTAGTGATCATATCACCTCTTTTCTTCTGTCTTCTAGTTTTGGCATATTTAATGCCTCTAACCTCTCCTCGTAGCTCTTGCCCTTCAGTTCTGGGAGCCACTTAGTAGCATGTCTTTGCACCTTTTCCAGTTTGTTGATGTGCTTCTTAAGATATGAGCACCACACAACCGCTGCATATTCTAGCTTTGGTCTAACAAAAGTTGTGAACAATTTCTTTAGTATATCACCATCCATGTATTTAAAAGCAATTCTGAAGTTAGAAAGTGTGGCATAGGCTCCTCGCACAACATTCTTTATGTGGTCCTCAGGTGATAGTTTTCTATCTAGAACCACCCCCTAGATCTCTTTCTTTATCAGAATTCTTTAAAGATTTCTCACATAATATATACGTTGTGTGGGGTCTATGTTCTCCTATTCCACATTCCATAACATGGCATTTATTAACATTAAATTCCATTTGCCAAGTGGTGCTCCATATACTTATTTTGTCCAGGTCATCTTGAAGGGCATGATAATCATCTAAGTTTCTTATCCTTCCTATTATCTTAGCATCATCAGCAAACATGTTCATATAATTCTGTATACCAACTGGTAGATCATTTATGTAGACAATAAACATCACTGGTGCAAGAACCAAACCCTGTGGTACTCCACTTGTGACATTTCTCCAGTCCAATACATTGCCTCTGATCACTGCCCTCATTTTTCTATCAGTCAGAAAATTTTTCATCCATGTTAGAAGCTTACCTGTCACCCCTCCAATATTTTCCAGTTTCCAGAACAACCTCTTATGTGGAACTCTGTCGAAAGCCTTTTTTAGGTCCAGATAGATGCAGTCAACCCAACCATCTCTTTCCTGTAATATCTCTGTTGCTCGATCATAGAAACTGAGTAAATTCGATACACAGGATCTTCCAGATCGAAAACCATACTGTCTGTCTGATATTATATCATTTCTCTCCAGGTGTTCTACCCATTTAGTTTTAATAATTTTTTCCAATATTTTGACTATTACACTTGTCAATGATACAGGTCTATAATTAAGGGGGTCTTCCCTGCTTCCACTTTTGTAGATTGGAACTATGTTAGCCTTTTTCCACACATCAGCTACAACTCCTGTAAACAGGGACGCCTGAAAAATCAGTTGAAGTGGAATGCTGAGCTCAGGTGCACATTCTCTCAGAACCCATGGTGAAACTCCATCTGGACCAACTGCTTTGTTCTTATTTAGCTCCTTGAGCATTTTTTCCACTTCGTCTTCGTTGGTGTACAGGTTCCTGAGCCTACTGGCCTTTATAATATTTACACTTGAAACTGTGTATGAAGTCTGCCTCCACCACATCACTTCCTAATGCATTCCATTTGTCTACTACTCTGACACTGAAAAAATTATTCCTAATGTCTCTACGGCTTATTTGGGAACTCAATTTCCACCTGTGTCCCCTAGGGCATGTGCCCCTTGTGTTAAATGTCCTTATCTACCCTATCAATTTCTCTTAGAATCTTGTATGTGGTTATCATGTTTCCCTAACTCTTCTGTCTCCCAGTGACATGAGGCTTAATTCCCATAGTCACTCCTCGTAGCTCATACCCCTCAGTTCGGGTACTAGTCTGGTGGCAAACCTTTGAACCTTTTCCAGTTTAGTCTTATGCTTGACAAGATATGAACTCCATGCTGGAGCCGCATACTTCAGGATTGGTCTGACACATGTGGTATACAAAGTTCTGATGATTCCTTACACAAGTTTCTAATGGCAATTCTTATATTAGCCAACCTGAAATTATCAGTGGTTCCCAACTGGTGGGCAACAATAACTTTTGTGGTCTTTTGAGTTTTAGAAAACACAGCTGTTCTCAAAAAGTTGTGAATTCACTGATTTAGATTTTCACAAAATGTAGGAACATGCACAATTTAACATTTCCTGAGGGGCGATCTCCCAGACACCAACTTTTATTACATACCTACTCGAGTCAAAGACCTCTCAAAATAGAGGAATGCACCTTCCAATAGTTATTCAAAGCTGGATAGAGAAATCTTCAGTGTTTGCCCTCCAATGAAAAGTCATACAATCACCCAGGTTAGAGTTTGCAATGTCCCAGGGAAAGTTGGATATTGACTAAAGGGGGCAACCAAGTAGCCTATAAATATTAAAATATATTTCTTTAAAACAATGGATAGATGTTGGCAATGTCCAAGAATTGTAATAGCAGGTTAAGAATTAACCAAGGTCTTTTGGTCTCTTGTGTCAGAACTGCACTGGAAACCAGTAAGAAAGATTGTGAGGTGGCCAGTCCTGAAACACTGTTTACCAGTCAATATTGCCACCTGGTGACAGTCTAGGATAGTGGCCAGCCAGATCAACTAGTGAATAGAAAGAACACTGCTTTTCAGTCCCCTGTGAGGCAAAGAGGCACTTTACCTGCGATTACTAGTGGTTAGTTCAAGAGTTTTATTTCCAAGGGGGGCCAGACCTATTTTGATGAATTGATTGGCAAATCCATTGCTGGCAGTGGCCTGCAGGTGCACATGGCCATCATTTTCTGCTGATCCAACACTTTCTACAGGAACCTGTCTAAATCCCATTCGAAAACTTCCACATTTGTTATGGACTGAAAGATTCTAATTTGCAAGAATGAGTCAAGGTTATTTAACCATCGTGCTGTGCCGAGTTTATTGTGAAATTCTCCCTGTGCGCATGAAATAAAGTTTTCCCAAAAAATTATTTTTTCTTCGTAAAATGATAAATTCCTTTCCCTGAACATGTCTATGTAAAAATAAATACCAAATTTCACTTACTTTGGCTGTGAGGACATGGACAAGGTGCGCTGAGACGTCATCAGGGCCTGGTCACCCCGTGCGTGACACACCCAGACACGGTCGCGCAAGCCATTCAAGCACAAGGTGTTGCTACAAATATATTTTCAATTATTTGTTCTATGTATTTCCAATGTGATTATATTTGTTTTTTATCGTTTATGATGCATATTTGTCTCCTTTACAATATATATACAGTAGAACGTTCATAATATTCCATGGAACTATGATACATGTGTCAGTAATATGTCCACAATAAATGTTTATTGTCGCAATATTACTTGTTAAAAATTCACTAAAATTACAATATGTACAGTTTCACACACTATTTACACAGTAACACACTCAGTACTGTACTTCGGAAGTGAATAATAATCAACGAAGTAGTCCATGGTACACAGCACAACTTCGCTCTTGTTGTACCAGGTACAGATAGATTTTTGCTTCCCGTTTCTTTGTTCTGTGTGCTTGCAAATAATACACTCATGTACACCCTTGGCATTAGTACCTGCAGGTGGTATGTAACCAAGCTTGTAAATCGTAAGGTAGTCTTGAAAATATTAAAGGAAAAAATCAATTTGTAAGGTAGTCATGAAAAGATTGCTTTGTAAGGTCCCACACAGGAAGAGATTCAGCTAGCCTCAAAGAGTGTCCATCAGTATGGAAGAGATTCAGCCAGCCCCAAAGAGTGTCCGTCAGTCAAGAGGAGATTCAGCTATTCTTGAAAATATCTATGGAAAACACCACCATGGAAGCCGCTAGCACTGTTCATTTATGCTACAGTACTTGTATCAGATGCATCATCACTGAACACAGAAAATTATTATGTATCATCTAAATAAATTGGAGATAGCATAGGTGGGCAAGGGTGGTGCTCAGAGCTACAACTGGATATGCTCGCTGTATCGTCCTCATAGGTGCAGTATCACTTGCATCCGACCTTTGTGTTAGGTCCTTATTGTGCCTAGCTTCACCATTATTATGACCCTTATGTTCTTCAAACAATAAGGTTTGAATTTCACCGACAGAGCGCGATCTTTCAACACTGCGTCGGACAGGTGTTTGGGAGCCAGAGGGGCATACGCCACCCATGGTTGCTCACTCAGTACTAACCCAGCCAGCAGCCCTAGGGAATTCTGGGAATTTTTTCCAAGGATGGCTGCCTCTCACTGGAGGTCCCAAGAGTTCATTTCGTACACAACCTACCTCGCACTCATTTAGAATGGGTACAAAAAATCAAGGAGTTTTCTCGGTTGGTGCAGTTTTCCACCGACCGAGAATACTCGGTTGGCGCAGTCAAGTGGTTAAAGGCTGGAAAGAGGGTTCTTCAGTGTCTTCCTCGTATGATGTGCCCTGACCATACACATAATGATGCCAAGAGACAAGCAGGATTTTGCCTAGAGAGGAAAAGTGGTATAGCTCCAAAAAATGTGTTCCTCTAGAAACCATTTAGACTACCAACTATAAACAGTACTGTGTATATATAATACAATGGAACCTCGGTTTAAGAATGCCATTTCCTCGTTTAAGAATAATTTCCTCATAAAATCTGACTCGGTATAAGAAGTTTACCTCGGATTACGAGTCGTTTGTTGATACAGTACTGTACTTGTATGGGGTCGATCACATAAGTTTTGCTGGGCGCGAGGCGTGCTCTGTTTACCAGTGTATCCTGCCTAGTGACAACCACACTTGAATTCTTTGTGAAGAATTTAATTTTTTTTTCTGAACATAAAAGTTCTTATTATATATCATGCCATGGCTCCCAAGAAAGTCAGTGGTAAAGTTCAACCTAAGAAAATAGTTGTGAGGACAACAATTGAGGAAAAACAATAGGTCATTCGTAAACATGAAGACGGAATGCTGGTTGTTGATCTAGCTAGGCAGTACAACAAATCTTTAATCAAATCATTAATTAAGAAAATGTGTGCAGCATGGGAAGAATTGCAAAGTTGCTGAAAAGACTCGACCAGATAAAGCTGTAGCAGGCCATTACATTAACATTTTATTGACAATGTGATGTCTCACTACAGACAAGTGTGATCCACAACTAGGTCTTAGTGGTATGCCTGTAAAATGTACGAGAGAGAATACCCCACAAATGTGGATTGATTGATGAAGATTCAGCCACCCAAGAGGTGGCACGGGCACAGTGGCACATAACCCAGAAATGTCATCACTGCCTGATGATATAATGGAAGTGGGGGCTCCCTTTCCAAACATTAACACCTCTCCTCCTTCCACCCCCCCTCCTCACCATCTTCCATACACCAACAAGAGTCCTCAATAAAGGTAAGGTCTAGTAAAAATATTAGTACTTTATATACACTTAGTTAATATTTTTGGGAGTGTGGAACGGATTAATTCAATTTGCATTATTTCTTATGGGAAAATTCATTTCAGTTTATGAATTTTCAGTGTATGAACAATCTCTTGGAGTGAATTAAATTTGTAAACGAAGGTACCACTGTACTGCATAATGAATAATGATAAAATCACTGCACTCGCAATAAATACAGGCAATTGAAAGTAATTTTGGCCTTTATAAACTGAGATAAGGCAACTTACTCCATTTCTAGCCTCTTCTTTGGAGGAATAAACTCTCGTTTTACTTGCACCTCCTTTTTTGCTGCTCTCTTCTTGGCATCAGCCTTTGCTCGAGTCCCTTTTCTGGCAGCTTCCATGATGCACCCTGTGTGGATCTGTGATGGGATGCCCAGTGACAATGGAAGCCATCTCTTTAAAATTACTTGTGCTAGGGAACCTGCAACACACAGTAAACATCAGTTGCATCTTAATAATTTATAATATTAAATACCTGTATATACAAAAAATCTGTTTTACACAGGAATGCTTGCCTAGAAATACTGTGAAATTTTGTTCATTGTTATTATCATTTAACCACTTTTTATGCAATTGGGAGGCATCAACCCAGACACACAAGGTGAATAATATATAGAATTACATGGATCTCCTGTAAACCCTGTATTAAGATTTCCTGTATGATATGGTAAATCCTGTATTAATGGTGAAATAATAATGAAATTGTTCATGACCTTTGCGAGACCAAAATTGGAATTTGCAGCAAGAAAGTGTGTTTCACCTGGAGATTTCATGAATCGACGTTAATTCACTGTATAATCTAGTATACCTGAATGCACCCAAGGGCCATGATCTATCTAGAAGTCTTGATGAGAGAAAGGAAACTGGTGGTTTGTCAAAGGCCCCCTCCCCACCCACACTTCTCCTTTGGATTTTTTCAATTTGAATTTTGAACTGCAGTATGATAGGATATGTTAGGTTACATTAGTAGGCTAGGCTAAGTCTGTTTAAAGAATAGTATTGACAATGTAAGACTACTCATCGGAACCTATTTTAATCATGTACTCTGGGAGCCAAGTCACAAGAAGAAAGCCAAAATCTGCAATCCAGTACCCTAGCCGGCCGGCTAGGGTACTGGATTACTTGTACTGGATGTACTGGAGTGCTACGTACTCGCCATGGACCAAAATACATTTAACATGCCTCCTAACTCACAATATTAGCATGCCAGAAAACTTGGTTTCGAAATTAAGTATATACAGTTTGAAGGAGATATTGTAACTAGCCAGTTATTGGCACTCTCTGTAAACCTATAGCAGTAGTCGTCTGTATTTCACCTTTCTATGCTAATTTATATATATATAAAAAAAAAAAAAAAAGTGGTGCAGGTTTTGGGGAAATACTTCCCTCTGAAGTTTCAGTATTGAAGCTGTGTCACTACTAATTCCATAAAACTAAATAACCGAACAAACATCTATTTCAAGTAGGTATTAAACGAGGGCAGCCCACCTGAGCGGCAGACGGACGACATGATTACAGTTCGTGTAGTGAGAGCCAGGGTTGCCAGATACAAATTGCTGAAAGTAGCGAGCTGACGGTCTAAAAGTAGCGAATTTGTAATAAGAGTAGCCCAATTTTTTGTTTAGTGACTGATACGGGTTTCAAAGTAATATATTTTGATATATAGAGTACACTACACGATGTTAATTGTTTTATTAATATTATTTCTGCACACACACACACACACGCACAATATATATATATATATATATATATATATATATATATATATATATATATATATATATATATATATATATATATATATATATATATATATATATATATATATATATATATATATATATATATATATATATATATATATATATATATATATATATATATATATATATATATATATATATATATATATATATATATATATATATATATATATATATATATATATATATATATATATATGTCGTACCTAGTAGCCAGAACTCACTTCTCAGCCTACTATTCAAGGCCCGATTTGCCTAATAAGCCAAGTTTTCCTGAATTAATATATTTACTATAATTTTTTTCTTATGAAATGATAAAGCAACCCTTTTCACTATGTATGAGGTCCATTTTTTTTTATTGGAGTTAAAATTAACGTAGATATATGACCGAACCTAACCAACCCTACCTAACCTAACCTAACCTATATATATAGGTAAGGTTAGGTTAGGTAGCCAAAAAGCTAGGTTAGGTTAGGTTAGGTAGGTTAGGTAGACGAAAAAACATTAATTCATGAAAACTTGGCTTATTAGGCAAATCGGGCCTTGCATAGTAGGCTGAGAAGTGAGTTCTGGCTACTAGGTACGACATATATATATATATATATATATATATATATATATATATATATATATATATATATATATATATATATATATATATATATATATATATATGTCGTACCTAGTAGCCAGAACTCACTTTTTGGCCTACTATGCATGGCCCGATTTGCCTAATAAGCCAAGTTTTCCTGAATTAATATATTTTTTCTAATTTTTTTCTTATGAAATGATAAAGCTACCCATTTCATTATGTATGAGGTCAATTTTTTTTTATTGGAGTTAAAATTAACGTAGATATATGACCGAACCTAACCAACCCTACCTAACCTAACCTAACCTATCTTTATAGGTTAGGTTTGGTTAGGTAGCCCAAAAGTTAGGTTAGGTTAGGTTAGGTAGGTTAGGTAGTCGAAAAACAATTAATTCGTGAAAACTTGGCTTATTAGGGAAATCGGGCCTTGCATAGTAGGCTGAGAAATGAGTTCTGGCTACTAGGTACGACATATATATATATATATATATATATATATATATATATATATATATATATATATATATATATATATATATATATATATATATATATATATATATATATATATATATATATATGTCGTACCTAGTAGCCAGAACGCACTTCTGGGCCTACTATGCAAGGCCCGATTTGCCTAATAAGCCAAGTTTTCATGAACTCATTGTTTTTCGACGACCTAACCTACCTAACCTAATTTTTTCGGCTACCTAACCTAACCTAACCTATAAAGATAGGTTAGGTTAGGTTAGGTAGGGTTGGTTAGGTTCGGTCATATATCTACGTTAATTTTAACTCCAATAACAAAAAATTTACCTCATACATAATGAAATTGGTAGCTTTATCATTTCATAAGAAAAAAAATTAGAGAAAATATATTAATTCATGAAAACTTGGCTTATTAGGCAAATCGGGCCTTGCATAGTAGGCTGATAAGTGCGTTCTGGCTACTAGGTACGACATATATATATATATACATATATATATATATATATATATATATATATATATATATACAGTACGTATATTTTTTTTAACCTAAAAGGGGTACCACCTCAGGTGAAAGTGTAGGGATCCATAGCCTCGGAGAAGAAAATAGAGAGTACCCAGAGAAGACCTTGTGGATCCTCACTGAACACTTTTATATTTTCTTCTCCTACCAGCCCTATTCTTTTAGTATGTGTGTATATATATCTAACTTTATTTTAAAATTTCATTACACAAAGAGAGTAATGCACAACCTGAAGCCCAAGTGAAACCCAGGAGCCCGACCAGTTGTGTAACCGCAAGCCAAGCATGAATGAATCGAACAACATCCGAAGCACAAACATACACGAACCGAAGCCCGACTATGTACAACCTGAAGCCCAAGTGATACCCCCGAAGCCCGACCAGTTTTGTAACCGGAGCCCGACTAGTTGCGTAACCGAAGCTCGACCAGTTGTGTAACCAGACCCTGACCAGTTGTCTAACCTTAAGCCTAGCAAGTATACATCTCATCCAACCCCCACCAAGCTAAACAGTCCCAGAGCACAACCAAGCTCCATTCCTAGCTCGACCAAACAAAAATCTCATTAGCCCTACCTAAAATCCTCCATTTGCCCTAGACACCAACTATTGACCCATAACAAACAATTGAACTATATACAAAAAAGAAACCCGGATTTCTAGCAAACATATAAACATAGAGCCTTAGCAAACAAACCTGGAGCACTAGTATACAAACAACCGCTGAAGCACAACCATGCACGAACCGAAGCCTGACCATGCACAACCCACAGCCTAAGTGACACCCCCGGAGCCCGACCAGTTATTTAACCGGAGCCCGACCAGTTATTTAACTGGAGCCCGACCAGCTATTTAACCGGAGCCCGACCAGTTGTGTAACCGAAGCTCGACCAGTTGTGTAACCAGACCCCGACCAGTTGTCTAACCTTAAGCCTAGCAAGCATACATCTCATCCAACCCCCACAAAGCTAAACAGTTCCAGAGCACAACCAAGCTCCATTCCTAGCTCGACCAAACAAAAATCTCATTAGCCCTACCTAAAATCCTCCATTTGCCCTAGACACCAACTATTGACCTGTAGCGAGTAGATTATCCCAATAATATACTCGCTCCAAATATAGTGTTAATATTCCTGTCAACCTTTGGAGATGAATGAGGTGAGGCGTTGCCCGGGCAACTCAGTGAGGTGTTGCCCGAGCAATATAAGCAGCGGTGTAGCGAACATTAACTAGTCTACTTTCAAGTGTGGTCTAGAGCAGACACTTGCGAGATACTGTACCAACGCTCAGTGCGCTCAACTCACACCAACGTATCACCTGTGTACTTCTGTATATTCGACCAAATATATATATAGTATCTTAGTGTCTGTGTTTATTTGTCACCATACTTTACGTAACAATAGAACCGTTACAGACCCATAACAAACAATTGAACTATATACAAAAAAGAAACCCGGATTTCTAGCAAACATATAAACATAGAGCCTTAGCAAACAAACCTGGAGCACTAGTATACAAACAACCGCTGAAGCACAACCATGCACCATGCACAACCCACAGCCTAAGTGACACCCCCGGAGCCCAACCAGTTATTTAACCGGAGCCCGACCAGTTATTTAACCAGAGCCCGACCAGTTATTTAACCGGAGCCCGACCAGTTATTTAACCGGAGCCCGACCAGTTATTTAACCGGAGCCCGACCAGTTATTTAACCGGAGCCCGACCAGTTGTGTAACCGAAGCTCGACCAGTTGTGTAACCAGACCCCGACCAGTTGTCTAACCTTAAGCCTAGCACGTATACATCTCATCCAACCCCCACAAAGCTAAACAGTCCCAGAGCACAACCAAGCTCTTTCTAGCTCGACCAAACAAAAATCTTCTTAGTGCTACTTAAAACCCTCCACTTGCCCTAGAAACCAACTATGGAGCCATATCAAACAATTGAACTATATACAAAAAAAAGAAACTCGAATTTCTAGCAAACATATAAACAGAGCTCTAGCAAACAAACCTGGAGCACTAGTACACAAACAACCACTGGAGCACAACCATGTACGAACCCGAGCACAACCATGCACAACCCAAAGCCCAACAAGTCACGTCCCTGGAGTTATGTAATTGGAACCCGACAAGTTGTGAAACCGGAGCCCGACCAGTTTTCTAACCGCAAGCCTAGCATGAACAAATCAAACAAACAACCGCTGAAGCACAACCATGCACGAACCAGAGCCTGACCATGCACAACCCAGAGCCCAAGTGACACCCCCGGAGCCCGACCAGTTATTTAACCGTGTAATAACCCGCCTTGTATCTATCTCGACCGCGCACCCCGCTACTACCACTGAGCTAACCGTGCAATCTCCGCTCTTTCTATGGTAATAACAGATGCTATCGATCGTGTAAGATGTTAACACTCGGGCCGTCATACGAAGACGTAAACCAGTAAACCGGAGAGAGAGAGAGAGAGCGAGAGAGAGAGAGAGAGGGAGAGAGAGAGAAAAAGAGAGAAAGAGAGAGAGAGAGAGAGAGAGAGAGAGAGAGAGAGAGAGAGAGAGAGAGAGAGAGAGAGAGAGAGAGAGAGAGAGAGAGAGAGAGAGAGAGAGAGAGAGAGAGAAAGAGAGAGAGAGAGAGAGAGAGAGAGAGAGAGAGAGAGAGAGAGAGAGAGAGAGAGAGAGAGAGAGAGAGAGAGAGAGAGAGAGAGAGAGAGAGAGAGAGAGAGAGAGAGAGAGAGAGAGAGAGAGAGAGAGAGAGAGAGAGAGAGAGAGAGGAAGAGTGAGGCAGAGCGAGAACGAGAGCAAAGGAGGGAGAACGAGAGCGAGTGAGGGCGAGGGAGAGTGAGACACTAGTGAGGGAGAGTTAGACAGAAAGATAGAGATAATCGTAGTCACAGCCTATCGTATGAGTTACCGAGTGACGCTGCCACCACCCTGAGTTACCGGACAGGGAACCGGAGTGAGGAGTCGTAGGTCTTGCAGATGGAATAACCTACCAGGACAGGTGTAGGGGACAATTGAACGGTACAAGGATCCTGGCCTGACACTCGAATAATCCTGACCGCTTGGGAACTATAGTGTACACAAGAATAAGGCGGGACACACCCAATACTAACACCTCAACACGGAAGACGAACGGGGGGAGGAGTACTGGATAATTAAGAACACTAGGTCACTGGGGCAAAGGGGACGATAGGCCCA